GGGAGAGAAAGGTTGCAGAGCCAAGCACATCATCTGAGAACATCAGCAAAGTTAAAGCTTTTACATATTGAAACTGGGTGGTTTGCCATATTCATCTATGGCAACCAATACTTGGTTCCACGAGCAGCATCAATAGGAAAGCACTACCTAAAAAAGTCTACTTAGGCAATGTAATTTCTAAAATACTGCTGATATCACTAACAAATCTTGAAATAACTTCATTAGTGCAGAGCCATCTGCTACAGCTTCAGAGTAGCCATTAGCATTAAAAACAGTCATACATCCTCAACTAGAGAGGATAAAAACATATGTCCCAAATCATCTAGACTTGTATGAAAGATTTAAAAAAAAAAAAAAAAAAGCTCCTGAATATTTTTCTATCCTGATACTGCTAATTGTTTCATTAAGTTGTACCACTGAAGAAATGCATCTGCTGCTGTTGATTTGTCTTTTCACCTCCTTGGAGGAAGCTAAGAGCTGATGGCAGTCAGATCTGCCCCACTGCTCAGTTCGGAGCTACATCAACAGCAGTGAGGATTTGCAATGTGAAAATAAGTGAGAGAGAGAGAGAGAGAGAGAGAGAGATCACCCACACACTTAATATGTCATATTCAAGTGTTCATGTTCAAATTTTATGTCTCAAAATATATCATTTTGTCTTTTCTCACTCTTTAAAAAAAAGTTGCTTTTATGTGACTGGTACTGGAAAGCAAAAAGAGCCTAGCAATTTCAGCTAACCAAAATATCAGTGCTACAACTACAGCAATAGCCGCTTATATCAAAGTTAATTTAAAAAAAAAAAAATCCCCCACACAACACAGTTTTGCACACTTATGTCTGGGAATGGGGGATCTTTTTTCCAGAAAAAAACACACCAAGTACACAATACATAAGATGAAGAAACTGACAGAGGATCTTAAATACTAGCCTTCCAAAAAGAATTTAACAAGCCTGATAACCCACACTCCTAGTGAAAACATGTCCTCAGAGAAAGGTGGAAGGAGCATTTAAACACTTCTAGATGTAATTAATGTATTGGTTAATGCTTGCTTCTGTGCCCCAAAGTATATCAACGTATATCTGCGCTGCATCTTCTACATTGCAATGTGTATATACCTGCAGGTTTGAGTCATCTGTTTATCATATTCCTAGTTTTCTCAGATGCTCCCACAGATTAGCCCTTCCTTGCATAAGTTTAATCCACATTTTTGTCATCTTTCAAAGTCCTTTTCCAGTCCTGCAGAACCTTGTTCTCGTACACCCTTGGCTTGCTTGCTAAGGGACATGGTCTCTACTGTCAGCATAGGACAGCTGCCTTTGCCTCTAAATGAAAAGAAAGTCATCTTCTAGAGAGAATGTCCTCCCTTCTGATGAAAGAATCCTTTTCATTAGCTTCCTCAAATACTTTTATCTTTGCAAGAAGTTTCACCTAAGCTTTCCATAACCTTCTTGTTCTGGGGATATTAATTACATTACAGAATGAAGACTGTAAGAAGGATAAAAAAAAAACTGAACATCTTAATAGTTATATCTAAAAGCTGTATTTCAAGTTGACCACATCTTTTATTTTCTCCATTTACATTTGCAGATGCCCAAACCAGAACCATTTAATAAAAGGCAGGTGCCAGCTTTTCTGGTTCCAGTGAAGAAAAAGCTCCAAGAGTAAGTTTGCAAGCAGGCTTCTTCCCCCTTCTGTTGAGGTTACAGAAGTCTAGCTTTGCCCAGTGAAAAGACTTCCAAATAAAACTTAAATAACCCCAAATCAATATCTTCTAGGACACTTATTAAAAGAACATATTCAAAGAAATGCTGCAAGCACTTCCAAACCCTGCAAGGGCAATTAGTACTACCAATTTAGGACTTGTTTACACAAGAAAATAAATAACAGCCATTCACTCTCAAAATGCTTTAATAAAGCTGTCAAAAGTTAATACCTTTTCAGAGACACGAAAAATCAGAACTAATTCTTTTTCTTCCTTTCTCTGTTCCTTTTTTTGCTGCGCTTCCCTTCTCCACACTCACCATAGTCAGTAAAGAGCTTATATCCCTGAGGCTCCCAATCCAAGTTCGCTGCTAATCGTGTGCTCTCCCAGCACTTACTGAGCATTCCTGATACCGGGCCTGGCTTTCRGAGGCATGGCACAACTGCCTACTCCCACTCAAATCTGAAAAATTGAAGTCAAACCAGTCGGGCTCTATCATCCACCCTCAGCTTCCACCATCAGAGCAATTGCTCAGCACTTCAGAGTACTTTCTTAGAAGAAATGAGTTCTTGGAGCAAGCCAAGAACATTCTGACACAAAYAGCCTCTCAAAGCCCAGGCAGCAAAACCAATGTTCACAGTCAATCYCAGGCTCACGTTACTGCTGTTACTGCTAGCATTAAACTGACTTAAAAGCTGGCTTAAGCAGAACAAATCCATACCTGCTACAGGAGGTATGTTATCTAATCCATACCTACCACGGGACACTAAGATCATCCCTAGTAAAATGTTAATGACACATCCTTTGCATAATAGAACAAGCTGCCTTCTGTGTTATTGCCTATACATTTGTTATGATTCACTATTTAGGAAATTCTAATGATTTGTTTATATATTCAGCAGCTGCTAATCAACCATGCAAGTTACTAAAACAGACTTTCTGTCTAGAAGAGCAGAGAAAGATACCAGTGACACAACATTTTRATTAGAAGATTCCAGGAGTTTATTTTTTTGTCTCTAGCCTGTGACATCCTGCTTCTTACTACTGCCACACTCAGGCCCCTCCAGGCTAAGAAAGCAAATGCCTCACTACCACAGCTCCCTATGAATAGAAGCACAGAAATAGATCGATGGAGGTTAAGACTAATCAAAGACAAAAGCAGTACAGTTAGTACCTGACAAGCCACAGCGGTATCTCACAAAAGGCAAGTGTTTACACAGTTCCTTCAAGTACAAGGTCATATTTGCAGAACTAGATAAACACGAACTATAAACAAATACTGAGGTTGTCGAAGTACAAGTCATAAGCAGAAGGGAAACTCTAGACTATACTAGATAACACGTTACATTTTCATAGTAATCTTCACAGCAGTAAAGGATCCCAGTCCCGCYAGAAGCTGCAGGCAGGCAGCTTTACAGAAAGCAGGAGCAGGCACAATATGCTGGGCTGTATATGCATGGGAACTTCTACCCTCCAAAAATCCTCACCTTGGGCATGCACCTCAACCCTAAAATTAAGAAGTCAATAGTACAGCTACATCCTGCATATACTGCACTCCATTAACTTTATTTCACAGAATAAGGCCTTTCACAGAAAGGCTGAGGTTGGAAGGGACTTCTAGAGACCATCTACTCCAACCAAGCAGGGACACCCAGAGCACGKGGCACAGGGYGGCATCCAGGCAGGTTTGGAAGATCTCCAGAGAAGGAGACTCCACAGCCTCCCTGGGCAGCCWGTGCCAGGGCTCTGGCACCCTCACAGGAAAGAAGTTCTTCCYGAGACAGCAAAACCCAGCCTTTCCTTGGTAAGCTTGGCACACTGCCTGTCAACAAATTGACCTCAAGATCCAACCATGAACTACCACGTGCATTAATGTACCTCTGATGTAGACGCACCTTTGAGGGGATATCAGTTTACCCAGCCTAATTTGGCCTCTAACAGAGCACGGCTGACCATTACTACAGCTGTGCCACCCCATTTGCCATCGCTTCAAGTGTGCAGAGACAACTGGGCACAGGCAAAAGAGCTGAACATAGAGTCCTTGTTACTGCAGTAGCACTGAGAAATATCCAGATACCCCCTACTAGCCTAATCCTAAGATCCACCACTAAGATACATTCCACCTTTCTTTTTATTAACTTCAAGTCACTATATTGCTCRGTTAAAAAGTATACGCACCTCTTGGGAGAATTTATGTGAGGATCTGAGATGCAAAGTCTGATCATTAATTCTGACCACTGAGACATACACTTAGCTTGAACAGGACAGGTTAAAAAAAAGACTTAGATACTCAGTTTACAAATATGGAGTTTGGAAATCTGATTCCATAGCTTTGTTCTCAGGCCTGCCACTGATTCCCTATCAATTTTKCTGAGTTACTTAGTATATGACTCGATCTTTTACCTGCTAAGCACAATGAACATACTCTGGTAAGCTCAAGAGGATGAGGATAGTAGTCCAGATGACATTCCTGTGCACASACTAAAGCATGTCACAGGATGCAGAATGAGTCATTTTGACAAAACACTGACAAGCAGAACCTAAACCTCTTGCAAAGTGTTACCCTATGACTTTACGCACACATGACCCCAGCTCCTGTCTAACAGCAACAACCCATCCACTAAGCTAATAGTGAAAACACCCTACACTCATACATTTACCTTGTTTTCCCCACAGCAAAACAGAAGTCAAAACACAGCGGGAGAATATTCAAGACAACAGTGCTTGCTATCATATCCTCCACTGTGGCTGGGACAATATCCCAGAGGAGAGTGGGGGATATAATAGCAAGTACCACTGTCTTGAGACCTTCCTTCTACTCTTTTGAATCCCAAAATCTTAATTTTTATTTACTTTTTAGGAAAATGCATATGCTTGCTTGACAAAAAGCAGACACTAGGAAAGCACACCAGAACTACTCAACAGTAAGAATGAACATTCAGCTCTTACCAAGGAAAAAAATCACCAAGAGTGACTTTCTAAAGGCATAAAGGTTTATTATATGGGCTACCAAACAAGCCAAGGAGCTAGGAGACAGGACTAGGTACCTAAACCACTAACTTGATACATGACATCAGTTACAGAACTTCGTCTGCCTTGGTCTCAGCTTACACTTCRGTAAAGCGATAACGATAAATTATCTACCACACAACACAGGCAGGGAAGGCTTTATTAATTAATTATCATAAAGCAACTTGAGAACTATGGATGCAAAGCTAGCGCACATGCATATATGTCTCCTCCTCMCCGCCCCAAAAAAAAGAGACCACCAACAAACCAGAAGACAAGACACCTTACCCAAAAGCTCCAGTCAGCACTCCAGCTGYACTGAGCAGGAACTTGCATCTTCTCGGTGCACAAACCAAGGGTCTCCTCTGAATCTGTAGGCAGCTGGCTGACACCACCATGATCCACTTCATGCACTTCCTGGGAACAAACAGGCAAGGTTGGTAATYGGACGGACAGTAGAGAGCAAAGGTGCTGAAGACAACCGTTAATTCATTTGCCATCTATATGTTAGATGACAACCGCAAGTGCTGGACTTAACAAGGTGAACACCAACATTTGTCATTGATGGCCTTTTCACCAAGTTGTTTTCTTTTAAAGTACATTTTAACTATTATTATATTATTTCCATAGCAGCAGATCAACTAACACACTGAAACCACATAGCCCTTTAAAACCAGTGCTAACAAAAGACATCAGTCAATGACACGCAGGGCAACTCCAGAACCCAAGGGACCTTTCAAAACCAGAGSAAGGTCACATATCCTCACACCTGCCAGAAAACTGACATCCGATGTTATACAGAGATAATATTTATATGAATAAAAGTTTTGTTTTATTTAATAAAGAGATATCTCCTTTGCTAACACGTGCTGTTATAAAACCCCTTTTCCACAGTGCTTTCTGACGAAGAGCTGTAAGTTTCCATGGCATGGCACATCGCTCCCGCTCTGCGATGGGGAGCTGCGCCCAAAGGGMCATACACGCACCCCAAGTCCCCAGCGAGCCGAGAGGAGCCCCCTGCAGCCCTCGGAGCCACGGCCAACACCGCCCGCGCTACCTGGCGGGCCGGCCAGGGATGCAAACGGGTGTCTCGCCACTTCGGAGCGGCTCCAAGCTCSGTGCCGGTTGACCGCGGGGCCGATGGCGGGAGCAGGCGATGGCGGGAGCAGGCGGCGCCGCTTCCCGGGCGCGCCGGCACGCGGGCTCAAAGGCGGCTCTAGCCTCACCCTTAGCCCCGCGCCAGGCGAGCGCGGCCCGGCCGAGCCCGCTCCCCGCGAGGGGCTGCGCGGACCCCGCCGCCAGCACCCCCGGGCGCGGCCGCCGGGCACGGAAGCTTCCAGACACGGGGGCGCTGTGCAGAGGGGCCGCGACCGGCCTCGCCCCCGGCCCCGGCCCGCGGGGGAAGGGCCCCGCCGCCACCTACCTGCGCAGCCCGCCGGCCGCCTCGGCCGAGGCGCAGCGCGGCGGGGCCGGCGGCCGGGGCATGGAGGAAGAGGAAGGTCGGGGGCGGCCGCACTTACCATGGAGGGGGCCGCGGGCGGCGCGGCGCCCGCCAACTGCCTCCGCGGGGCGCCCGCCGGGGCCGCGGCCGCCATTTAAAGGGGCAGGCGCGCAGTGCGGCCTGGG